GGCCCGGCGGGGGGGGAGGTCAAGTGCCTAACGGAGGTGGGCACATTCCCTCTGCCGCCTGCAGGGGGTCGTGGCCCGTGCTGGCCCCGGGGCTGGTGTCGTGTGGGGCACTGGCCTGTCCTCAGTGGGGAGCGTGGGGCTTGTTTGCGTGTTTCTGGGGAGCTGGCCTTCGTGCTGTGCCTCACACTCTGCCCCGCTCTCCTCCCTCACTGGCCATCTTCTTAGTTCATCTGCGTGGGACACAAGTTGGAACATGTTTTCCCTGTTCAGTAACTAATGATTCTTCCCTCTTGTATGTCTCCTCCCTCCAACAGTCCTTCCCCCTTAAAAGGAAGTAAACCTAATATTTAACAGTAAGGTCTGACGGAGCCTGAACTGTCCTATTAGAGAGGGCCTCCTGCATCTCGTCATCAGTACCCACCACGTGCCCCTCAGCGTGTCGGCGGCTCCCTCCCGCCTGCTCCCAACGCAGGTGCATCTCCAGGATCTGTGTCGCAGGACGGCACACCCCGAGAAAGGGCTCGGGAGCCAGGGTGCCCGGCCGCGGGGTCAGGGAGGTGCATCGTGTCAAGGTCACAAAGCGACGGGGACCAGGTGGCTTTCCGTGACCCCTGAGCGGAGGAGGCGCGGAGGTTGAACACTTGGAATCAGCCAGCCCAGCGGCTGCGGCCCTCCGTGTGCTGCTGGCATGTGGCTCTGTGTTCTCCTCACAATGTGTTGTTTATGTAACTTGTCTTCCAGCAAATGGCCTTGTGCACAGGGTCCCGAGGCGGAGGTGTAGCGTGAGTGAGAACGGCAGCTTCTGGGCTTTTGCCCGGGCTTCCGTCTGAGTCGGTACAAACACTCAGAAACCTGCGTTTTCTTCCGTGGAAGCACCTGCCGTGTCGGGAGGGTGTCTGCCTCAGCCTGAGGCTCGGTTCCTCATATTCGAGGGTTTCCTGAGCTGCTAGGACGGCCGGGACCAGTGGAAGGAAGGTGAGTGACAGGCGTCCCGGGCAGTGGGGGGTGGCCCGTCACGCGCGTCGCAGACCTCCTCAGCCCGTGACTCAGACCCCTGTGCTCGGCCGGGGGCTCCGCACAGCTGTGAAGTGAGCGGCGGCACTTCCGCCTGCTGCAAGGCCCGCTGCCTGGGACCTCCCTGGAGGCCACGCCTGTCAGCTTCCGGAGGCTTCCGTGACGAGCCCGTTCCTTAATGAAAGGCGCTCACACGGGCGTAGCTCTTTCCAGTTAAACTCAACGGGGCAGGTCTTGGAAAGACCATCCTAGAGACTCAGTCCCAGTCTTCCTACCAGTCATGTCGGAGCACCTTCCCCTCTACGTTCTGTCACTACTGATCTCAAACGGTCCTAGATTCCTTTTAAAAAGCTTCCTGGAAAGTCAGCTTTATGAGAACAGCACCGTGTATGGCGGTAAATGCCCTAGGACAGTGTCACAATAAGCAGCAGCCTCGAGCCCTGCACCTCGCTGGGAGCAAAGCCTGGCGCAGGCTCAGCACCACGCCCAGGCCCTGCCGTGGCCGGTCGCTGTTCCTACCGGCACCCAGCTGGTTCTGTCCCCGGGGCTTGGTTCCTGTACTGAACGTTACTGCCAGGACTCCATCAACTGCCTTAGGAAGTGCCTTCCACGGAGAGTCTGGGTCATCTGCTCAGGGCGGTGCCGAGGGTCCTGAGGTTCAAGGCGGAACATGTCACAGATGAAAGCATAACACTCTTGTCTCTCTAACCCTCACTCCAGGATGTTTTTATTGTTTTGAGAGAGAGAGGAAGGGGAAGAGAGAAACATCGATTGGTTGCCCCGATCAGGGATTGAACCCACAACCTCGGTATGGACCCTGACGGGAATCAAGCCACAGCCTTTGGGTGTACGGACCCCACTCCCACCCCCCGAGCCCCGGCCAGGGCAGCGGACGTGTCCAAAGGACAGGCTCCCAGGGGCTCTCTCCTCAGAGCTGATTCCTAAAGCGGGGCCATTGGGGTAGGAGATGGGGATCCTGGACGCACATGGTTCTGACAAACAGAACCCACTGCGAATCCCTGTGGCTCGAGCACCACCACTGCCACGGCATTTCCCGAAAAATCCTCTCCATGCCGTGGGGTTTCAGTGTAAAGGAGCAACAGGTACTAGTTAGTTCAGGGGTGTCTCTAGGCCGCTTGGAGCCTTGGGCACTATTGCGTTTTTATTGATGGCGCTGCTGTCCTGTCTCGGGCACAGTGCTGCGCCGTGGCACCCTGATGGCGGCGGGACCACAGGCCTGTGGCTCGCCCTCTCCGCTGAACTCCCACCACAGGGAGCACCTGCTGCAGACACATTTCACCTGGGGCCTATCCTGTGGCGACTGTCATAGACTGGCCTTTACATTAGAAGGAGTCACATGTGTTTATTCATACGACGTTTTGCTTCTGTTTCATGTATGTGAACTAGCACCGACTCTGCCCGCAGCCCCGCTGCGTCACCGCTGGGCCACGCCGAGGCCGTCGCTCTCGATGAACGGGATGTCCGCGTACTTGGCGTTGCTGTCCGCCCACTGCTGCAGGGCGCCGCTCAGGATCTCCTGCGACAGGCGGTGCGCGAACTTGGACACCACGACTTTGGGCTCTGCGGGCTGTGCGGGCTCCTCCGCCTCCTCCACCGCCTGCACCTCCTCCACCGCCTGCACCTCCTCCACCTCCACCTCCTCCTCCACGCCCTCCACCTCCTCCACGTCCTCCACGTCCTCCACGTCCTGGGTGACGGGCGTCGGCACCCGCGGCTCACACCTCTCGATGGTGGTGGGGAAGGGGAAGGTCTGCTTGGACTTCATGCAGCCCATGCTGCGCGGACGCCGTGACCGTGACCGGCCCGGAGGCTACCTCAGCAGCATCTTGGGAAACGCCTGTCCACGGGATGCTGACCGTGCTCCCCGGCACCTGGATGGCGCCCCTTCCCCTCTTCACATGGGGCGTCTGCCTGTGGAGAGAGAGGAGTTTCACGGTGAAGGCCTGGCACGCAGCAGCCCTTATCCCTCAGCTCCCACGTCCTGCAGGGGCCAGACGCCAGCTCTGTCTCATCAGCAGAAACCAGGAGAACCGCTCGGAACGTGGCCAGTGACCAGAGAGGAACATGTTTGTTCACGGTCGGGAAAAGTTTACGACCCTGAAAACACAGTTCAACGCCTCTAGCTGAGATCCACTGTGGTGGCCGGACGACGGACGCTGGTCTCTGGACCCCATCGCCGCCTGCGAGTGAAGGAAGCTCCCGGGACACGGCGTGCCCATTGCTCACACACCATCTATGTAGCTTCACTTCCTGTGAGTACTTGGGTGGGTTTTGTTGTTAACTTCCTCACTCTGCAGGGGTCTTACACAGGGTGACTGCAAGCCAGGGCTCAAACATACACCACAAATATACAATCTTTTTAAAAGGCTTTATTGTTGAAACTTAGATATGTCCCCTCCCCCTACCCCCTCCTAGGCCTTCACCACCTTACTGTCTGTGTCCATGGGTGATGCATATGTGCACCTGGTTTTCTGCTGAATTGGATATCCCTGTGAAAAGCTCAGATTAATTTAAAATAAGGTTAAAGGTTCCTTACCTGAATATCTCATTCTTACTCTTATTTGGGGTGCTGACAAAAAAAGGGGCTCCAACAAACCACCACTCCTCCTGGGAGGTAGGTGGGCATCCATCCCGCCCAGGCCTCTCACTGCCCATTGAGGGGTTTAAGGAGCCCGTCCCTTGCGGCTGTGCGTGTGGGCGCGCACCTGAAATGCCGATGGCGCCCAGGAAGGCGCGCTCGCCTGGCTTTCTCCCTTCCGTCCTCCCTCAATCTCAGCGCATCAGAGACCGTGCGACTGTGTTCTGTGGGCTGTCGGGCCCTTGGCAGCAGGTTGGCCGTTTCTCTCGCTGCAAGGGGGCCGCAGCCTTGTGATGTGTCTGCTCAGCTTCCGACGGGCGCACTGAATGCAGCTCTTACACAGGCGCCCTCCTGGAGGCAGGCAGCCTTCGGAGTGCGGTCAGGCTGTGCGCCGTCCTTAGTGGTCGGGTCAGACCCAGCTCCAAGAAGTCGCAAAATAAGCCGGGTTGATTGATGTCGGCGACACCAATCTTAAGGAGTAGCAATCAGTGTGCGTTTAATTATTGTCAACAGTTCATAATGAAAGTCCAGAATGGTGGCCCTTGCCCAGGCCTCACTGCTGTACGTGTCAGTTTCTGTAGTCTCCCCAGTTCCTCCCATCGCACACTGGTTCCCCTGCGGCCCCTGGGAGGTGGTGCGGGAGCAGGAGGAAGCCCAGCCGTCTGCTCTGTGGCGTCCGCTCTGTGTGCCTGCTCTGAGGTGACGGCAGAACCGGGCAGGGAGTGTGGCGGCCCGTTCACGAGACCCCACTTCCTGGAGCCGAGCCGCCCGGGCTGGGCGTGGCCAGCACAGACGACGTGGCCTCTGCTTCGTGCCTTGAGGGGTGGCTGAGGGGACTGGACCTGGTTGACCTGAAGATGATGCTGGGGACCCAGGAGTGCCAGGTGCAGGAAGGCCGGGAAGCGTCTTTCTGGCGTCTTAGGTTTGCAGAAGCGGTTTCATCAGACCTAGTGCCAGCTCTGCCCTCTCACCAAAACCAGCGTTAAGCCTGGACAGAACAAATGTCCAAGCTACAGAGACTTCTTAGGCGTTTACTGAGCCAAACTGAGGACGTGTTCTGGGGAGCAAGATCTCAGGTGATCCAGGGAGGGACCGCCTTACAGCTTCTTCTTCCCTTCGGAGATGGAGGAGGAGCCAAGGAAGATTCCACGAGGGAGGGAGGGAGCCAGGCAGGGCTGGACGGCCTCTCTTGCACACTTAGAAGGAAGGATGTCACAGGGGCATTTCCAGGTGTGTGAACCCAGATGCAGGCAAAGATAAGCCTTTTAGGAATCGGTTACAAGCTGGGCCTGACTCCCCACCGGAGCTGCCCAGTTGGGAACTTGTGTTCACGCCGCCCTGTGGGGTCCCTTCCATAGGACCCGTTCGTCCACGTCGGGCCTTGTCAGGCCCTGCACAGCGGGCAGCACCGAGGGACCCCGAGGGAAGGCGGGCAGCTGTAAGGCCACAGCAGATCTGCTGCGGCGGCGCTGGCATTGTCATGGGCGTGGACCCTGGCAGAGGCTGGGGGACGGAAGCAGGACTTTAGAAAGGGGCGGGGGGCTCATCAAGAGCGCTTCCCTGCAGGCTGGGAGGGGTGCCCAGGAAGGCTCCGTCCGTCCGTCCGTCCGTCCGACCCTGCACACCAGTACTGCTGGGCCCCGACACCAGGGGTCAGTGCTGGGCGCCCTGGGGGTTTCACGCCAGCCCCGGAGCAGAGGCTCCAAACACATCAGGCCTTTCGCGACGACCTGCTAGTGGGGCCCTAGGAGTCGGGGTGCACCGGCAGGGCTGGCCAGACTTCCCTCGGGGCCACCAGCACGCAATGTGCGAGCTCTGTGCTCTGTTACACCGCTCGGGCCGCTGTTTTGCACAAGCCTCATGGACAACACATGAGCGTGAGCCATGGCTGAGTTCTGACAAAGCCTCATTTACGGAAGCAGGCAGCCAGCCACGGCCACGCGGATCAGTGCAGACAAAGGCCCATTCTCACGGGGTATGATTCAGTCCATTTCAGGGAAGAAACCCCAGACTCCTGCGGGCAGGACCCACAGGCCGGGGCAGCTGTGAGGAGGAGAGGCCCCCGTGCTGGCCCCCGAGGGCAGCCTGTGCACGCAGAGGATGCGAAAGAGCTGAGCGGCTCCCATCGCCCGTCAACTCAACGTTATCCTCTGGGATCCACCTACATGTTCCTTTTATGTTTTCATTGACTTTTTAGAGAGAGAGGAAGGGAGAGGGAGACGGAAACATCGATGGGAGAGGAGCGTCGTCCATCAGCTGCCTCCTGCACGCCCCCTGCTGGGGGATCAAGCCTGCCACCCAGGCATGTGCCCTGACCAGGAACCCCACTGTGACCTCCTGGTTCATGGGTTGGTGCTCAATCACTGAGCCACATCGGCCTGGCTAAATATTCTTGAATCTTCCAGTCCTGTCTCTATCCACGTCAGGGCAGTGTTTTCCCTACCAGTGGGGTGTGCTTTTTATTCATCTGCAAGCTATATGTACAGTACGGAGTTTCCTCAAAAAATTAAAAATGGAACTGCCATTTGACCCAGTGAGCCCACTCCTAGGAATATATCCTAAGAAACCCAAAACACCAATCAGAAAGGATATATGCACCCCTATGTTCATAGCAGCGTAATTTACAATAGCTAAGATCTGGAAACAGCCCGAGTGCCATCAGTCAATGAGTGGATAAAAAAGCTGTGGTATGTGTACACCAGGGAATACTATGCAGCTGTGAAAAAGAAGGATCTCTGACCCTTTGGGACAGCATGGAGGGCCCTGGAGAGCATTATGCTGAGCAAAATAAGCCAGGCAGAGAAACACAAGCATCACATGATCTCACTCATACGTGGGATCCCATGAACACAATAAACTGAAGAACAAAACAGAAACAGAGGCATGGACCCGGGGCTGACGGACGAATCTCAAGGGGCAGATGGGAGCAGCGGACAGGAAGAGATCAGCCAAAGACCTTGTGTGCACACAGGCATTGCCCATCCCTCAGCACAGCTAACAGTGGGGGCAGGAGGCAGGTGGTGGGAGGGGGAAGCCAGGGGACGCTTCAATACTGTCAGCAATAAAGATGCAAATAGAAGCAGCGATGGAAGGGGACAGAGTTGGCCCCCAGACCCGCCACCTTGGCTGAAGGACTGTGGACTGAAGGCAGCTAGCCCTCTGCTTTCCCTGGTTCTCCAGCATCAGGTGCCCGTTCCCTTTTGTGAGGGTCCCCTTTCTTAGACCTGAGCAAACCTCACTAGACCCGCGGCCGCCAACCTTTCAGGCCTCACGGCCACCAGTGGTCCGCGGACCCCCAGCTGGCGAGCGCTGCACTAAACCACCCCATTTATTACACGTTTCTGGTC